CAACTAATATGAGATTCAAAGGAGATGCAATCAACTTACCAAACATCTTTCTTAGTATCGAGTGAGCTGTAGATTGTTTTCTTGTTTTATGTATTTCCACATATCTGATTTTAAACAGGGATTAAAGCTGCCTCAGGTAAAATTAAAGAGCATTTGGTGGTAACTCAAAACTTTCAGGACTAAAATTTTCAAAACTGCCTAGGAAGTCCAGACCTTAATTGTTACAATAGTAGTGAGAATTGCATTTGCAAGTGCAAGCCAATTGCTTTGACAGTCTCAATTATCATCCTCATCTGTCAACACTATTGAGAACTCAAAACACCTTTCCAGTTAAATATGCATGACTTTGCAGCTAGGATGTGTTGATACTATGTTGGGAAAAAAAGGATAGCAAATGTAATATACATCTGTAACAAACAACTTTCTACTACCCAAAGAAAAAGCAGATTGAAGCTTTACCTCTTTATGAACGTGCGTTAAAGATTTATGAAGATAGCTTTGGTCACATGCATCCTCGTGTGGGGGAAACTCTGAAAAACTTGGCTGTGCTGAGGTAAGACTATATGTTTTAGCCCTATAAAAGCAAATTACTACAAAAATTACTGGATGAAACAAACCATCCTGGAGTTGTGTACTTACTAGGAAAGTAGAGAGCCCTTAAGTACACTTTGTTGCTAGCGTGGTGTGCATTTCAATTTAAATGAATTGAGAGACTTGTTTTATTTGCTTGTTTCAACTTTGGTTTACTCTTCTCCGAAGCTATGAAGGGGGAGACTTTGAGAAGGCGGCTGAACTTTACAAGAGAGCTATGGAAATAAAAGAGGCAGAGACTTTGTTGATAGGTGGAAAAGCAACTTCTCGACACTCATCGAGTGGAGATACGTTCAGCTTAAAAAGCGCATTAGCACCAAACATTTTCCTGGAACATGGACAAAGGTGATATGAACCTGCTCAAAGAAAAGGCAGTTTCTACTGATATTTTAAAGCAGACAGAAAATTATTATGAAAATTTATTTTTTCTTGGATAAGGTACTATTTTGGGATTGACACCTGTCATTCATGAATGACAAGGAAACAAATGTTTAAGCTTGAAATCCTTCCACGTTGACTTTGCAGACTGTATGGTACAAAGTGAGCTGCTTTTTTGTATATAGATACGTATATTAGTTACTAGCTCAAGTTGTAGCTGATACCAAAACCATGTGGATTTGATACCTCTTAGCCTAAGGGCCAGGATTATAACAACTTAAGTTGAACCAATTGTATATACCCTATCAGGTAGTTCTTACTTCTATATTGTAATAGCCTGGCTTAGAGGATGGGTGTGGGTTTGTTTCATCACTCCTTTCTGCCTTTTCAAAAGCTTTTAAAGTTGTTTCTAAAGAGACAGTAATTTTGAAAAAGTCAAAATACTGTTCTACCCGAAGTTTGACCTGCAGGTTGATTTCAGCTTTAAGCAAACTTACATTCAAGGGACTTGTGCAAAAATAATTGGTTTCCTTGGGAAGCTAATATATCTAAATATATCATCGTCTAGTTAACGCTGTTGTCAGATTCAACTTTGTTCAGTAAAAATACTTCCAGTGAGGAATCAGACTGAAGATGAATATGACCTGATTCCCTGTTGTTAAACCTTTAGCGATACTGTCACTATTTAATCTCATTGAACCCCTTAAAATACAAAAATCTTTGTATTTAGCTGGAAAAACCTAGTGATGCAAAAGAGTTTGCCATCAAATAAAGAGACGCTAATCAAATCTACCTGCTTGTTGTATTTCCTAATACCCAGTCATCTGGAAGAATCAATTCAAAATCTGTTCTCATTCAGTGCATAAATCCATGAATCATTTAAATACATTCTAAAAATAACTTTTATAAAAAATTGGATGTAAGTGAAAAATTAATTGAAACTTCACTACACTGTTTCAGAGGCAACTGATTAAATAAATCTTTACATCTGGTTTGAAAAATGTAAATGTCCTTTACCTGAAAGGGGTACTTACCTTCCACAGTCTCTTTTTCCCTTTTAGAGTTAAAGATAACCCCTTTCAGCCCTTGTTCTGGTTAGAAGGAATTTAATATTGTGATAAGACTGTAACTTGGCCACAGTATATAAAACCGATAGAACAAATGCACAACCCAAATTTTATTTTTAAGATTTGGGGGAAAAAAAAAAAGCTCCCGAAGGCATTACAATACAGCAACAAGAGTTGACACTCTGTAATAGCGCTCTGGATATTTTCCTCTTACTTCGGAAGCAGCATTGTTACCAAGTAAGGATGGGCTAAAAGAAGAAAACAAACGTAAACACCCAAAAAAGCCCCCAAACCCCTCAATCTTCCAGCTTGTGTGTGTTTCTGTTGCCTACTCTCCTCAGACCTGGCAATCCCCTCCTCTAAAGCCAGTGTTACAAATTATCAGATGTCTGATCTAGCTTGTCACTTCTGTTCTGATTCTAACAGGTATGATACATCTTGCTCTCTATATAGTTTACCTTAACATTGCCAGTTTAAATAAGAAGGTACTTTCTAGACCTTCAATGTTTTATCAGACTCTTAGCAATTTCCAGTTCCGAAATCAGTCAAGATTATAGTCATAGCACTCTTAAGACAGTTGTTCATGTATTTTTAATGTCATGGACATTAAAAAAAACCCCAAAAACCTGTATATCTGGTGTATGTCAAATAATACTTTGATGTAGGAAAACACCTCAAAACAGGAAGCCGGCAGTTTCAATGGAGATTTAATCATACAGTCAGAATATCAACATCTCAATAACATTCATGATACACTGTAAAAACTGAAAGCTTCTTTTATAAGATTGCCAAATAAAGCTGGACTAAACCATTACAATATGTTTTAACTTGTTAGTTCATAACAAAAGAAGTAATAAATTTTCCATTAGGTTTTATAGTTGGGAATAGATTATACTTGTAAATGTCTTTTTTAATGTAAGAAAATACCCTTAAAGCTGCTTTGTTTGATGCTGTTTAGTTTTCAATAATTTTAACCATTGGCATATAAACTCTTCTCAAAGTGCTCTCTAATTATTTCAAATTCTTGTATATACAAGTAGAAAGTCTGAAAGTAACACGAGAACCATTTTGCATACTCTGTAAGCGGGCATATAAAAGTGTATTAATTTGCTTATAAAACTACATGAAGTAAAATGGTGAACAGTTGCCTTTTCTAAAGCTGTCAATCATGTGATAGCAGCCATGTCAGCCAGACAGTTAAGAGTCAAGATTAACTGAGCCGTTGTAGAAATGAGCCCACCATTTGCCTCAGAATCTCCAGAGCTGGGTGCGTTCCACTGTGTCTGGAACACTTTCATTGTTCCCAACAGAAAGGTAAAACCAAATTAAAAAAAGTAAGTAACACTTAAAGTGACACTTAAATCAAGCTAAGGTAGACTTAGTGACACAGATTCAAGTATGTACCTTTCTAATGATCCCTTTGTTCTATTTCCCATCCCTCTCTACAGTTCATTTCTAAAATCTGGTTTCTCCAAAACAACTCAATCCAAAAAACCCCCTCTTCCATTCTACAGTCTAATGCACCATACTCAAAGCCTCCCTCGCTAGTTTCAGAGATTATTTTTATGTAAATAATCTAGTGTCAGCTATGGAGGAAACAGGTTTTGAAGTTTGTAACTGTTGCTTTGAAATGAAACATTTTTAAACTAAGTGTTCATTTAGCTGCCCTAAGAAACAGAAGCACCTCTACGATATTACTTGCTTTTTACATGTTGGTTGGATATTGTCTACCATTACGAGCTGGTTCTGTGGGTTTTTTTAGCACCCTAAGATGAAAATATTTGTGTTGTACTGGAAAGGCTGAAATTTACATTCTTCTAAGCCAAATCTAAATAATGATCAAGTTCTGGATCAAACGCCCAGAAGAGTTAAAATATTTGAAATTGATACTTCCAATTCTGCAGGGTACTGACACTACAGAGTGTGTACATTTACAGGCCAGTTTAAAACATGATAATTTAAAAGGTAAGATGACTGTACTAACATTATTTACAAGACAAATACAGTAGCTCAGCTACTCCACTGCAGAGATTTGCAACACTAAACAAAGTTTAGAGCATCTAATTTTAGCAGCTTTCATAACGCAAATTCAATCAAGTATATTCCTTAATGTAGCCCATATAATAGGGATGGATCAGAATTACAGCTAAGCTTTTAATAACCAACAAAAATACGATATTTAGATTTTTGAAGAGATAGACAAAATCTCCTGTTCTTTCCAATGCTGCTGGTAATTCCTACAGATTTGGTCATGAAAAGCATCTGCCACCTGAAATAGTGGTGTGCTAATATCCAGTTTGCTAGTATAATTATCTACTAACTAAAGACTTCGCTTTGTTGCAGAATACTCAGAGCATTACCACGTACAAAACATATAGAGAGCTATTTAAGAACAACCAGTAGTAAACCACTGATAAAACCAGGGAAGTTTAAAAAAAAATTCCATCCCAGAGATATTTAAGGCGGATGAAAAAGCTGAAATGTTCTGTTTACTCAGAAAAGGTAACCACAGCGCGATCCATACCAAGAATTTACAGAGACAAGTGCTGGAAAATCAAGAGCAGCAATGAGTGCGGCACTATCATTGGCCCTTGACCTACTCGGTCCACTCCAGCAGATTCATCTTTCATTTGTCCTATACTATGTCCTGTTCGTATCACATGATATTGCATATAATGTGGTATGCCTGCTTTTGTTAGTTTATCCATCTCCTTTTATTTCCTACTGAATGTCTGGACACTAGCAATGCTGAGAAATTAAACTTTACAGTAGCACAACTCCATCTGTTAAAGACGTGAATAGACAACAGAACATAAACAAGGTAAGTCTGTTTCCTTTCTGCCCCCGTAACAGTTCCATTTCATCAGAAATGTAAAGATAAGCTTCAGTGGAGGTTTAAAAAAAAAAAAAGTCAAGTCTGATCTTCTCAAAATCCAATGTCAATCCAAACTCCCCAAAGTTGTACTTAATATTTGTTTCGCTACATGTTTCTCATTTTGGCCATGAGTTCTTCTAGGCTTTCTTCACCGTCAGCTACTGTTTCCTCAGTTATCAAATTCTCTTCCTATTAGGAACAGGAAGAAAAAGTTGGCAACAAAAATAGCAAACAAAAAACCCCATACAAATAAGCTTTATTGCCATTATACCACATCATTTTCCTACGACCAAGCACACAATTGCAAGATTAGGCCTCAGTGATTATAAACTTAAATTGTAAACTCTATTCTGACTGGGAGTGAGAATATTCTGGCTGTGATACATACACACTCTGTTCCCCAGGTACGCTAACTGCTCTTTGACTACGTACAGCTTTTACAAGATAAACATGGTAAAAACATTAGTCACCAAAATATCAAATAATAAATTGATGTTTGCTTTCTCTCCCCTGCCCCCAAATGCATTCATTCCTATCACTCAAAACTACATTCACACTAACACCCATATATAGATTTCATAGAAACACAAAACTGGACCATAGAAGACTCCAGTCAAATGTACTGAGGTACGGTTTTACTGGAATTGTTCGAGATGGAATTTTACTTGAGGTTTAAAGGGTAACCAAGCTGGCTTAGATTACAAATTTAATCTATATGATGTATTTAAAAAATAAGCGTATTCATAACGAGTAAATACATTACCTTGTTTGGGATAGTATATGCTACAGTAATTCCTTCAGGAAGCTCAGGGACTGGGCCAGATGCAGCCTTCAGCTCATCTTCTGAAATTTCTGATACTAACTCGATGCCTTTGCATTAAAAGGAATTGAGAACTCCATTAGAAGTTAGTTGAAAAACTTCTTTAATCACCATGTTATCATAGGACAAGGAAAATTGCCGCTACTTTTCCAAAACAGAAAAAAATATACAAGCAGAAAGACGTTTGATTTCAATTACTTCATGCCCATTATCAATGCATAAACGTTTTCCCTTTACAATATGTGAAATGGTTCCATACATGGAACTTCTGGACAAGAATGGCACCTCTCCTACAGGACTTCCTTCTCCTTAACAGTTTAAATCTTACTGTGAGGACACTTGCCAATGGTCAGCTAAGATTATTTTCTGTATCATGCAATCAACAGAACATATATATCCATTCTTGAAATGGTTCTATAGAATGCATTTAATCATTTCTTAAGACAATTATTTCTAATTTAAAGCCCTCAGAGGAATAAAAAGATCTATGGGGATGCCTTAGCCTAGTGGTTATAGAAATGACAAATGCTCTTTAGCTACGTATTTAAAAGGAACAGATAGTGAATAAATAGTGTCACATCTTTCATATCTTCAGACCATCTTTGGAGAAAGTATTTTATGCAAACAGTGCTAATTTTTGCACCTAAAACCTGTTCATTATAGTAAAACCTCATCATCAAGTTGTGTTAGCATTGCTCTCAAAACCTGTGAAAAGCCAGCAGTAAATATGCAGTATACGTTACAAAAAACAGGAATCATGAGAATTCTCATGTACCCTACAGTGTGCTCACCCAAAACAAAAAATTTAATTGAAGCTTGGTACTGGGAACATCATTTCATTTCCAGCTGATTACTTACCCCAGTCATTATCTTCGTGTACTACTTCTTCTTCCTGTTCAATTACTACTTGTTTTGGTTGTGCAGCTTCTTTTTTCTGAAAGAAAAACACAAAAAAATAAACCCCATAATAGTCCAATTTTCAACAACAGCAAAGAAGATCAAATCTAATATTCACGCTTCTTTTAATATTTAAGATATGCAGTCACCATTTAGAACTTTATTAGTCATAAAAAGGCAGAATACCTACAAATTTAAAACAAACAAACAATCCATTAATGTTCAAAAATATATGACTGCCAGAAAGGTTGAGCAATTACTGCAGACAAAAAATAAAAGATTATCTAACTGCATGCAAGCCATTCTGCCTATCTTTTGCTTTTAAGATAATTCTAAGTACCATATTTTTAGAAACACATGCAATGATCTGAAGACAAGGCTGCTAAAAACTGAAGTAGCAATGAAAGTTTTCTTTTACTACAGATCTGTAGCTTTAGGAATTTAAGAAAGCAAAAAAAAAAAATCCTTTTTACCTTATAATTTTCCTGTTGTTTTCTGCAATTTTGGTCACTACATTGTGGGTTTGGCTTCATAGCCATAGTTGGAAAGAAATCCTGCATTGCATTGTAACCAAGATAATAACTCACAGTACCAAAATTTAACAGATATCTAGAAAAACAAACAGACAAAGCAGGCCCTTATATACAGGTGCAAACCTAAAAATTCAGTTGCTCAAGGATTAATTTTTTCCTCAACTTTGAGAAAACACTGTCTCACTACTAAAGTTGTATAAAAATTACTGGGATTGTCTTAAAATAAGCTGTAGCCACCTGACAACAGTGTAACTGCATCATCATAGAAGCTGGTCCTCTTGCCGTGTAAGCATGTGAGAACAAGTCAGCTACAGTCTCAGAAAAAAAAAAAGAACAAAACAAAACAAAAAACCAACACCCAACAAAAACCAAACCCCCAAAAGATTTAAGTGTAAGCAGTTTTCTCCTCTGCCTTAATCCATTGCTTGAAACATTCAGGTGCCCTGTATTACAAAGGGAGTGTTTTTCAACAGCTAATCAGAACCAGTTTAATCATCTTTATTTTCATCGCCAATATGACCCTACAGTAAAGATTTAAATTGAGCTGCAATGTTTGCATTCTTCATTAAACACTTGTTGCCATGCAATTTTATATAATACCTCTCTCTGCACAGCTGAAAACAGCACTTAATTGTTTGTAGGCACAGTTGCAAACAGTATTTTTATTCTTTCTAAATATAAATTTTTTGATAACTGCCAAAACTAAGCTAAGGTTTAAAAATTAGTTAAATAGCATCTTCTTCTCAAAGATGCTTGTAAAAGATGGTACATCATTTTCAAACCAAATACAAAGTTGTTTAAAAGTCTTCCTTGCCGATACATGCAGTTCTTTTAGCAGCTAGAGTCACGTGGCAGTACTTTTGGAAAAATATTAAAATATATCATATTGCTATATAACTGGTTTTAATTCACCTCAGGTTTTTAGAATACAAACACTACAAGCTAAATGATTTCTTTTTTGTCCATGTACAAAAGTTCAAAGATGAGTTAGTGCTGTAGCATTTTTGTGTATAATATAGTGATGTCAAATGGGAATATGTGTAAATGCAGAACTAAGGGGAAAAAAAAGTGTGTGTGTATGCAGTAAGAGAAATTTGTTGGAAAACTCTGAAGACTTTTCCTTAAACCTGAAAAGTTCTTTTAAAACCAGCAGGTCCAAAATAGTAAACATGCCAGTGATTCAAGCAGTGTATACTTCAGCCAGGTCCAATGATGCCAAGACCTTTAGGAAATAGGCCACAAACATAGAAAAAGAACCAGACCCATCATTATGAAATGTTCCTTCAGGTTTCTTTCTCTTATCATGCTGTACATTGAATAGCAACAACTCAGTCACTTACTTCAGAACATTTTGTACAAGAATTCCTGCCACAACACCCATAGTTGTAGGAAGACTAGCTGCACAAACTCCTTCTCGTTTTAATGTTTTCTCATCAATATTTGCAGCAACTACAAGTGGAGGAGCACACTGAGGGGAAATAAAGAAATTAAGTTTTAAAAAAGTATTAAAACCACCCCCACAGATCACACAAAATTTTAAAGCTACTCCATCAGCTGTGCCAGGATCACATTCACTAGCCGGCTAGTCTTCGTATTCCCAATCCCACTCTAAAAAACGAACAAGCAGTTCAGCAGAGCACTGCGTACCGCAAAACAAGCAGATTCACCAGGTATGATCAGCTGTACATGTCCTGACACCGCGTTTTCACTCACTCCAGATTCCATCCAGATTTGTCCAAGTTCATTGCAGGCCTTATAAACAGAAACACACACATCAGCGCTGCAGAAGTTTAATGAAAAGAAAAAAACCAAAACATAAAACATTTGTAAGTTGAGAGTGATTAAGCATATTGATCTTCCTGCTTTAAGACAAAAAGGCTATGATCAGAAAAAGGAACATGAAAAGGTAGAATAGAAATTGTTTATCAAAGGACAAATTAAAATTGTCTTCGTGAAGCCAGCTGTTTGTGCTTTCCTGAGGACATGGGATTTTTGAACAAATACAGGCATTAGCGATCCAGTTACGAGCACACTACAGAATCTAATTGCACAAATACAGTGTATCTGTGTACCTTCAGTGCACGCAATGTATGGATCAAGTTAGCTGAAGGGTAACAAAGAACATACATTTGGCGTATACCCTACATTGGCTGCTACTATAAAGAAAAACAGTTTGATTAGGTACACAGCTTTAAGACATTTTTAGTATACAAAAAGTCATATGAAGTATACAGTTAGCTATACATACAGTTTTTAAAAAGTTTGTAAGATTTAAAATACCAGGCTTTGATAATACCTTTATATAAACAGGAAAGACAGAGAGGGCTTATGTCACTTACTCTTTTACTAACCATTAGCTGCTAGTAACTTAAAAGTCTACAGTTGTACCTATACACATAAAATGCGTTTTATAAGAACTGGGTAAAAGCTCAGATTCTGGTTCCTTAAACCAAGGAGCAAATTTCTTAGAAGATTCTGGATAAGTTCCTGCCTTTTCTCTAGTTCCTACAATTCCTAACATTATTTATAGGAGAAAATAGACTTCCACAAGCTCATGCCTTTGATGGCCTTACCGTGTTAATTGCCATGCGAGCTTCAAAGTTGTCCACGCAGCTTAGAACAAGATCGACAGGCTTCCCTTCCTCTAGTGCACCATTACTGAAATAAATATCAGAAGTTTGTGTGAAATTGCCAGCAGAACAGAACACCAACATGGCAATCAACATGCTGCTTTAGAGTACAGAAGCATATGGAAGGTGTATTTCTAAGAAAACTTGTGCAAATGCAGAACAGGATACAACTAGCATCTTACATCTACAGTAGAAACAACAGCATGCTGAAGCTGGGATTGAAATACATGGGCATTTGTCTTGGTTTTGGCAGGGATAGAGTTAATTTTCTTCCTAGCAGCTGGTATAGTGCTGTGGTTTGGATTTACGATGGGAATAATGTGGATAACACACTGATGTTTTAATTGTTGCCCAGCAGTCAAGGACTATTCAGCTTCTCATACCAGCCTGCCAGTGAGAAGGTGGGGGGTGCACAAGAAGCTGGGAGGGGACACAGCCAGGACAGCTGACCCAAACTGGCCAAAGGGATATTCCATAACATATGACATCATGCTCAGCATATAACTGGGAGTTGGCTGGGAGTCGGTGCAGCTTGGAAATTAGCTGAGCATCGGCTTCAGGTGGTGAGAAATTGTACAGTGCATCACTTGTTTTGTATTATCATTGTCATCATCATGTTCCTTTTCTGTCCTATTAAACTGTCTTTATCTCAACCCACAGGTTTTGGGGTTTTTTTTTCCTTTTCAATTCTCTCCCCTATCCCAGTGCGGGGAAGAGGGGAGGAGGGAGCGAACAGCTATGTTGTTGTTTTAGCCACTGGCCAGGTTAAACCATGACAGCATTTTAGATTAAAAGAAGTTTTATATAGTATACACTCACAGTACAAAGTATTCGAGAACTGTATCTTTGTACAACATAACTGAAATAACTTTTCCCATTTGCAGAACTTCTCTGTGAGATCCACTAATAACTATTTCTTCGTTCTATAAAGCATACCTGAAACTTCTCCAGAGAAGTCAAAATATGATCCGATCTGTTTTCTATAATGGAAAAAGCCTATAGGACCTGCAGCTTTGGTTGGAAATCTAAAGATGCACTAATATAAAATATAACAACATAACAGTAGAAATAAATGCCAACTGTAGAGAAAAGGTCTAGGCAGAAACGTGTTCATATATACATATTTCCCACTGGTTTTCAATTGGAAGTCACTAAATTGAAAAAACACCCCAACAATAAAAATGTGAGACCGTACAAACCACACATCAGCAGAAGTCAGCAATATGCCTTTGTTGAGAGATTTTACCTTATTCTATCCATGAAGTGTTCAAAGTTGTCCAGTGTTGTGATGTTGTAGTTATGTACTTCAAATTGAACATCAGGATTAATATTCCTTATGGAGGAAATAATATGAGTCAATTTTAATAAATACAATGGTAACTTGCATTCTACTCCCTAATTTCACAAATGTTGCTACAGTCTTAAGCTTCCAGTCTGAAGTCTAGAACGCACCCATATATGTCAAACATTCATAGATTAGATGAGAAAAAACCCACAAAATACTGAAGTGGCATAGTTAGCAAATTAGCTATACTTAAAAAGTAGACTCACATTAAGGTTTTGGCCAGTACAAAAATATCCTTAAAGTATCAACCATTCCCATAACTCTTTTATACTCAAATTTCCAAATTAGCTCATGCTACTTCACAAGTGATTAAGACTGAAACATCCATTTCCTGTAGCAGCATCCTGGGTAAATACATTTTGATACCCACTTCTCTAAGTTATACCTCAAAGTATGCTCTGCTGCTTGCACTTTACTTAATCCAGCTTGATGAGGTTGGAAGAAGAGTCTGTTCATGTTTGCCAATTCCACCTTGTCATAATCAAACAGAAGCAGCTACAATAAAGATCATATTAACATATGTGAATCTCCAAAGACTCTGCAACCAGAGCACTATGGCAAGCCATTTTAAACAACAAAACTCACTTCCACCAGAAAATCCAACCAACCAATCCCCCCCACAGTGCTATTCAGTTCACATACAAAAGGTACCAACATTGTAAATATTTGAAAGACTCAATTCTGACTGCCATTCACCAGGAGCCGATTCATTAAGTCATGAAAACCACTCTTAATAAAAAGCAATCTGTTCATTTGATCTAAACTAAGAATATTCAACAGATTACCTAAATGAACACTTATCACCTCTGTTATCACATTCCTACTTGCTGTTATGGCATTAACTAGAAATGTGTAATTTCTTTCACTTGTCCTGGCATGTAGCTCTTGAAAAACAATTCACTTAAAATACCTACATAATACATGGATGTGTTGATTATCATAAATTCTGCATCAACTGTCCAATGTCCTTGTCTATGCCCAAGATGCTGGTCTTCAAGAAATGTTTCTTCAGAGGAAGGGGGAATAAACTTTGCAATAAAAAATTGCATCACCTCTGTATTAAGAGGTTTCTTAAAGTTCCAAGAGTGAATAGCCAGGCTTTGCCTGGAAATATAAACATCTAAGCCATTCCCCAAATTCCTTCTTTAAAGAAAAATCCTGTTTTATTTACTCTGGAGGTTCTTGTTATCTATACAGACATCAAATTATTTTTAACTGTTGCTAATTTTTTAGGTCTAAGTCTTTCACATGACAAACTAAAGTTTGTGATAAAAATATTTGCTTGACATCTGCTGCATTTCAATTTCATAACTGTCAACTTGTTCTCATAAGACTTAAACGTCTATGCAAGTTACCTCCTCCTTTTTCTTTATCTGTTTTCCTTTTGCAATTATCCAGTCTGATGATTAGATAGGTGGGCTCGTATAAGAGCACGGAGAAGACAAGCATCCAAACAAGAATCGTCCACATGATACAAGATTAAGCCCTAACTAAATCAATTTTACTAGCATAAGAAATATACAGACTTAAGACTTTTCATCTGTGAAGTTTACTTAAGTGCTGTTCTTGAGTGCTTTCTTCATGGTACTTTTTTACTTGGGCAAAAGCAACTGAGAGAAATCAAATCTAACTCTTTATGAAGAAGACTGGTCCATCTACCATAAAGAAGTAGAAGAAGAAAACTCTCATTACCTTACCAATGCCACACCTTGTCAACATTTCAGCAGTCACACTGCCAACTCCACCTACACCTACTACTGCAACTGTAAAGGTACGGATTTTCTGTAGAAAAAAATACAATACAGATCAGTATGTCAAAAGTGGTCCTCACAGGGAAATAATTAAAGGCTGTTTTAATGCAGATAGAATCCTACCTCATAATCTTTGACAATTCCCATTCTTTTTAACGCCATCAAGCGACTACAAAGAAAAACAAACATTATATAAAAAATGCTCTCTACATTTCTAGTAGCAATTTTGCTATAAAAATAACCCCGCCAAGCACCAAACACAAGCCTCCTGTTTTCACTGCAGTTGTGATTGCCAGCTAGATACAGTCTGAATGAGATAGTACTTTCCTATTAGCAACAGCAATAGAGTACTAAACCTGCAGAAATTCATGTATTTAGTAAGTTGGTACGAGTAATGTCAGTGAAATCAGGACGACCCATACTTAGTTTTTTAAATGAATCCCCAATTTACAGAATGGAAGCCTACACTCTTTTCTTTAAGGAACCATATGGTAGCAGGTCAGTGAGGGCTCTTCCACTGTTTTCTGATCAATTTGAGTGGATTAACTCCAACATAACATTTTAAAAATATAAAATAGCGAACATCAGGTTGTCAGGATAACTGGAAGAATTTTAAAGTAGCATTTTATCCTGCTACTGTGCTTTTTCATTGAAAGTGTCAATGAAAGTACAAGTATCAGCTTCTATTAAAGTGATTAATCCTGAAAAAAATAATGCATCAGATTTCCAGAACTGCTGAGCAACAGAAGCTCAAGGCTTCTCTAAACCAAACTCTAAAATAGGTAAGTTAGAGGAATGAGAATAAGACCTCATGTAATACCAACACCTGTCCCATTTACTGGCAACTTAGCTGAAGAACTCACAGTTTCCTCTCTCTCCCTGTACCGCAAAGCAAGATAATACAAAGTAACCCCAATGTACACCCCTGCCAGCCCAGTCAGGTGGGAAACGAGACCACCTCTCCCCTCCTCCCCACAGATCACCTGTCTTCAGCACTGCCCTGACACCCTACTCAGCACACCCAGCCCTACCCCTTAGACCCCCACCTGCCCAAGCCCACCTCCACATGCCTTTTCGCCTTTACCCAGACCCACAGTTCCAACCCACGGCCTTAGACCCCACAGCCCTCCCTCTTCCCCATCCTCTACACCCTGACTCAGCCTCTAGGCCTCTTCCCCATGGCTCAGTCCGGGTCCTCTCCCCATAACCCAACCCCTGTAGGTGCAGCCTCCTCACCCCATAACGCGCC